GGTCAACTACATGTGTACTCCTTCATGGATTTTTACTTTCTCTTTGATAACAGAACCAGGGTTAATTGACATACATACCTGGTTACCATAGGGTGTCTCTGTTCAGACACCACAAAAAAAAAAAGTCTAGCTTTTGAAATCTGGGCAGCAAATCCTCCATATACTGTAATCAAACACAGCCCTATGACACCCAGCTGCAGTGGTGCTGCCAGGAATAATAAAGGCAGAGAGTGAATGATGGTCCTTGTGTATTAGAAGCTTCTCTTCTTTCCTGAAGTTTCATAATGAAAGATGCTCCCTCAATAAAATCAGAAAGGAAAGTGAAGGTTTAGTAAATATTGTTTGAGCCTGATAAAGGATGTTGACAGCTTCCAGAAAAGTGACTTGATTTTGTTTTTGAACAGCTTTATTTTAATTACTAGATGAGGATTTGAAGCTAGGTCTTCAGAGATGCACAGGCAGTCAGTAGTGGGATAGTTCAGCATCTGCTGTGTAAAGGCATTGTGCTCACATGACCTAACTGCTAGCCAGGATGCTGGTCAGACTGAGTTCTTGGCTGCACATTGGCATTTAGTAAAGTTTGTCTAACTAGAGTTTATCCCAGGAAATTACACATCTTTGAAACTGTGCTGCTCCTAAATATCTTGGAGATATTAAAATAGGATAAGGAGATTTAAATATCAAGGATCGTGGTCTTGCCAATTAAACTAGATGATTGTTATAGGACCCTTCCAACTGATCTGTTCTGATGAGAGGGCTGCCATGGCTCCTTAACTGTCTAAGAGCAAAGACAGCAATACATCTTTCCTGTGACTACTGATCCAGCTAGGCAGGTCAGACCACACTTTACTGAGGAGACAGCTGGAGAAAACAGTGATCCCAAACTAGCTGTTGTTCTATCACAGGATTAATAATACTTCACTATTATTATTAGGGAGTGTCTGGCAGCTAAATTAAGTAGGGACTTGTGGAGTAGTTAATGGAGGACATCTAGGGAAAATGAGAACGCAGCAGAGTATGGTGCTTCTTGAGAGTGTTTGTAAAATGTCCAGTGAATTGAGTAGAAAATTCTTGGATCACAAAGGTGAAGTAGTCATATTTAAGAGCTCTAAGTGGAATTGTCTTCCAGAAAAGTGATTGTTCCTTTTAAATGTGAAAAATATTTGATATTTCATGTGCCTTACCTGTATATTATATGGCAGTATTATCTTGTGCTTGCTTTAAACTTGCTGTTCTTGTTTGAAATCCTTGTTACTGTATGAGAGTGAGTAGTGTTTTCTTGTTCACTTTCACTGATCCACACATTACTCTCTAGTCCCCTACCCCTTCCTTCATACCTTTTTCAGGTTGCACAATCCTGGTCTATTCAGGCATACCATGCATAGAAGGTGCTCTGTTCCTTTGATCAGCTGTGCTGCTCTTTTCAGGACCTTTTACAGTTTATCTGTGTTGGCTTTGAGGTGGGCAAATGGTATAATTTAACACAGTATTCAGGATAAAGGCATAATGTGGATTAATGTTGTGATATATTTGTTCCCTTTTTGCTTTTCTATTCTCCCTAGAAGCAGTTTCTACTGTTCCTCTTGTTTTCTTTCTGAGTTGATATTCACATAGGTGACTCTGCCTCAATCCTATTCCTGAAAAGGATAACCAACTCAACATCTGACATTTATATGTAAGGTTAGAGCTGTTTTTTCTGTTGGTGTGTCGCTTTATGCTTTTTCATTCCAAAGTTCATCTCTTGTTTTATTGTATAGTATCTCAATATTATGACATGTTTCTGCAACATATTGTAGCTTCTTTACTGTCATGAGTAGACAGTTATCACTGGATGATTGTCATCTCAGTATTTCTTTTTTAGACCATTTATGAGCGCAGCAAAGATTCCTGTGAGATAGTGTTGTAATTTATTTCCTGTTTCCTCTCTTAAGTGATTTTCCACCTCAAGACTTCATATCTCATGGCAGCTCAGATCCTTTAAGAGGCTTCTGTGAGAGATGTTACTTAATTTCTTTTGGAAATCCAAGCAGACCTTATCAAGCAGATCTGCCTCATGCACCGGCTATTGGCCTGCTCAGGAACAGAGGTAAGTTTGCAAGGCAGCACTTTGCTTTACAAAAGCTGTGATGATTTTGCCCCATACAGTAGATTTATAGAAATAAGTGCTACTTTTATTAGTTAATTGCTTGTGCTAATGTGGGCATTTTGTATATCATACTGCACCATCAAATATTCCCCATGCTTGCTTTAGAATGGTTTTTTGGAAAGATTTCCCTCAGTCTTCTAGATGAAGTAGTGTTGGGTGAGAGGCTGCATATCATGCCGACATTGTTCAGGTATATGGCAGAAATATCCATACTGATCAAGAGTTGTTTCCTATTTTGTAGGTTTTGTAACTTCCTGTTCATGAAATAGTTATTCACAGCATCTAGAAATCAAGTTTTATGAGTGGTTTATATAAAGACTTCACATCTTACTTCAGAGTAATTTAATCATTTGGAAACAATAGTTCCCTGGGATTTCTACATTTCATTGCCTTTCTGTCACCATGTTTCCTTCATAACTGCTGTGTCCATGTCCTTGTTTAAGGCAAGTGTTCTGGGTCTGTGCCACTATTATCTTAGAGAATTATGTGAAATGGAAAACATTGTTTTGGATTTCTGTTGCTGTTCTGTTCACATCAAACTTTTTTTACTACTTTTATTTTACTATTTGACTTTTTTCAACTTCCATCCTATTCTTGAGGTTGCAGTGTTGACCACAGGATTCAGAACAGTGTATCCTGTGTGCACAAGTCTTTGTTTTTGTGCTTGTCAGTTTGAAATTTCACAGAATCATGGAATAGTTGGGGTTGAAAGAGACCTTAATGATCATCTAATTCCAGCCCCCCGCCATGGGCAGGGACACCTTCCACTAGACCAGGATGCTTAAAGCCCCATCCAACCTGGCTTTGACCTCTTCCAGGGATGGAGCATCCACAACTTCTCTGGACAGCCTCTTACCAGTGCCTCACCACTCTCACAGTGAAGAGCTTCTTCCTGGTATCTAATTTAGAGACCCTCTTTCAGTTTAAAGCTATTGTCTTTTATCCTAGCACTAGTTGCTCTTATAGGAAGTCCCTCTCTAGATTTCTTGTAGGCCCCCTTTAGGTATTGGAAGACTGTTATATGGGCTCTCCTGAGCCTTCTCCCATGCTGAACAGCCCCAGCTCTCTCAGCCTGTCTTCATAGCAGAGCTGCTCCAGTCCTCTGATCATCTTTGTGCCCCTCCTCTAAACTTGCTTGAGCAGGTCCACGTCCCTCATGTGTTGGGTGCCCTGAAGCTGGATGCAGTACTGCAGGTGGGGTCTCACCAGAGCAGAGTAGAGAGTGAGAATTACCTCCCTCAGCCTGCTGGTCATGCTCCTTCTGATGCAGCCCAGCATACAGTTGGCTTTCTGGGCTGCAAGTGCACACTGCTGGGTCATGTTGAGCTTCTCATCAACCAACATCCCCAGCATGTCCTTCTCCTCAGGGCTCCTCTTAGTCCAGGTTCTGCCCAACCTGTAGTTGTGCTTGGGATTTCCCCAACCCAGGTGCAGGGCTGCAGTGTCAAATGTTTTGCACAAGTCCAGGTAGGTCATGTCAGTCACTCTTCCCTTATCCAATGATGTTAACCTGTCATAGAAAGCTATCAGATTTGTCAAGCATTATGTGCCCTTAGTGAAGCCATGCTGGCTGTCACCAGTCACCTCCTTATTGTCCATGTGCCTTAGATTAGTTTCCAGGAGGATCTGCTTCAAGATTTTGCTGGGCACTGAGGAGAACCTGACCAGCCTGTAGCTCCCTTGGTCTTCCTTTTTAACTTTTCTAAAAACAGGGGTTATATTTCCCCTTTTCTAGTCAACAGGAGCTTCACCAAACTGTCTCAGCTTCTCAAATACAACGGGTAATAGCGTGGCAACTTCATTTGCCAGCTCCCTCAGGACTCAGATGCATCTTGTCAGGTCCCATGGACTTGTGCACCTTCAGGTTCCTTAGATGATCTTGAACCTGATCTACAGCATGGGTGGTTCTTTATCCTCCCAGTCCCTGCCTTTGCCCTCTGTGACTTAGGTGGTGTGGCTGGAATTCTTGCCAGTGAAGACTGAGGCAAAGAAGTCATTGAGTACCTCCAGCCTTCTCCATGTCCTAGGTAACCCGGTCTCCCACTTCCTCTTGAGAAATTTCTGTATGATATTACTTATGTGAAGCATGTATTCATTTTCTGTCTCAGTTCAGGTGAAAATCTGGTCAGCCTTTGTTATGGTTAATCTTCTCTAGAAGCTTCCCCAGTCCCTGATGAGCCTGAGCCTCTTTTCCTTATGCCATTGCTTTAGTTGCGTATTAAGACTTTGCTTCCTTTTTTAGGATGGGGTCCAGGTCTTTGGCATCCGATGATCTGCCTCCAGAATTTATCTTTTATGTGGTGCCCAGGTGGACCACAACCCCTGCCTCCTTCCCAGCATTTCCTACTTAGTCCAGGCTTTTTTGGTGTTTGTAAGTGTAGCACCAGCAGGCACACCAGTACACTGTTTCTGGAGTTAGGAGTCAAACCTGTTGAGTACCTGGTAACTGAACCACTGAAGGCTATTGCCTGTCCCTTTTTCTCAGCTGGGGTTTCTGCTCCAGGGAAGTATTATCAGCCCAAGAACTGTTACGTTTTTAATCAGTTTGGTACCTCTGTGTCAAAACACTAGGCCTGGAAGAGCTTTTCAGTGCCTTAAAAAGCCTCCTCAACTTAACCTCTTCCCTTAACCATCATAAATAGGGCTTTTTTGCCTGCTGGTGAGACTATTCAGAGATTGCCAAGAGGCCTCTGTTGCGTATGTCTTTCACTTGTGCCCAGATCAAGTCACAGGAAAGAGCTCTGTCTCTGAAGGTTACGGGCTGCCTGGAACGAATATGTCTTCCCACCACCTACACTTAGGTCAGGTAATCATATGGGACTTGATACTTACCGTGGGAAATTGTCACCCTCTAGCTAGGCATATGACTGCATTTCTCTTGCATATCTGGACTGACTCAATAGAAGTGTTCCTATATGGGATGTTCCAGTTCTAGTGTTGAGAAGTAATTACATTATGTGCATCCTTATCAACACTATTCATGTGTTTCATAACAAATTATGCTGAGACGTTGAATCCAAATTATGAGAAGCTGAGGCTTATCTTTAGCCTGCATTTCATTCAGAAGAAGCTGGCCTTCCCAGAAAGGCAGTCTTCCTGTTACTTGGCTAGCAACTTGACACAACATTGAAGGAGGAGTTCCAGATGTGTAAGATGTATTTGCATGAGTGTTATTAATGTGGTGATTCCTGAGCTGTAGAGGGGTCAAATGAAGGTCATTAAGGTGGAGGAAAAGAGTCCTTAGATGTTAAAACTTCATTGCAGCAAAGCAAATATGTGCCACACATATTTTGTTGTGATGTTCTGTCTTCTTTACTTGCCTTCTGAACCAAATCTGTGTGTAAGGCTATGTGGGCATATACATCTTCTAATAGGCTTGGTGGAACTGAGAACCTAAAATTGAAAAAAGGGTTGCAAAGAAAAGATTGAGAAATGCTACTTTAGGTTAGAGTTTGTGCATGCATTAATTCACTTGCTACTTTAGGTTAGAGTTTGTGCATGCATTAATTCACTTGCTAATTGGTTTGCTGTAACTAGCACAATTAGAAATGCTTATCTAGACAACCTGCAAATATTTATCACAAATGTTTATGACTTAGAAGAATCTTACCAGGACAGAACTATGTGTGTGGCTAGGTAGCCACAATTAAAATCAACATCTAAGGAGTTAAAGAAGAATTACAAACTTGAATATATCCATTATTGTTGGGGCATGTTCTTTTTTGGCCAAATAATCAATTTCAAGGAAATTCAAGGGAGTTGAGAGGCACATGCCACTGAATTTATATCAGTTTGTCAGCTCTGTATCTGGCCTAGCACTAACATTATCTCTTTAGAACATGTCAATTTTCTGCATTGGTCCTGCCCAGAATGTCTGGTTTGCTTTTAATTATACTGGAGAAGGAAATAAACTCTGCATCCTTGCAAAATTTTCATGGCTCTTCTGATTTGGGGTGTTGCAGGGTGTAGTTAATGCTCTGAAAAGTCTTTGGGATTCCTGGATGAAAGGTGTGATGAAAGAAGTGTATTGTTGTTTTAGGGGAGGAATCATACTACTAGGTAAGCCTCTGTCACTGAGACTTGCTGGACTCGTTTGTTCTGACTTGCCTATGACTCCTTTCTTTCCTAATTCAGGAGATAAAGCCTCAAGTCTATGCTGAGATGCTGCACAGTGTGTTGTGGCATTTGGGACAGTGCATCTCCCAGACAGAAGAGCTTCTTGCTGACCTCTCAGTGGTACCCAAAGGTGAGTGCTGCAGCCTCTGACTTGCTTCTTGGTAGTTTGGGCAGCATGGCTATATCATGTGTAAGTTTATAGAGCAGTTTGAGCTTTGGGTGAGGGCGGAGGGAGAATGGCGCTAGCTCTGAGCTTTCTTTTGATTTGAGCTGCCTTCCATGCATTGGTAATCCTTCTGATATTTCACCCTTTCTCCTTACCTAAAATGCATTTATTTTCCACCTGCTCCTCAGCTCCTCTACAGCATTGTATGGTGACAAATTAAGGTGGCCTATGGCCACTGGAAGTTGTGGTGGGGAAGCAGGTGAGAGTAATAACTGCACCTCAATTCTGATCTGCTTGTGTTAGTACAGTTAGAATGTGTTGCAGTCACAAGTACTGAGTCGATAACCTGGCACAAAAGGGCAAGCGGAGTAAACAAAGTAAAAATAGGTTCTTGTGCTTTTTTGTATTTTCATGGGCTGTGTATGCAGCCAGTGAAGTGTTAATCTGTGCAGAATCGGTTTGTATATGCACCAAATCTGGCACCAGACCATTTCACCCGCCCTGCCTTGGAATGAAAATCAAACTGAAAATCCACAAGGACTCTAACAGTTGTGTCTTTCTTCTGGATTGGATTTCAAGCAGTCAAAGCAGGATGAAGAGAAAACTATATGGTGCAGAGCTATTTTCAAAGGCTCAAAAGCAGAGATCTATAATCTGGGACTGACGAACTAACAGAATAAGATACTTTGTCTATGATAAATATAGCTGGAAATGGAAATCTGAAAGGTAAAGATGATGTAGAAGTTGCAGAACCTTATCCTAAACTGATTGCAATCAGTGGCCATGTACTTAAATATTTCCTATATACCGGGATGGCCTCTTGCATGTTCATGGAAATTGTAAAGTCCTTATGTAGTGAGTAGCCCTCCTACTTCTACTACATCTTATTTCAGAACATGGGAGACTTTCTCAAGATGTTGGCTGGGGCAGTCAGCTGTAGACAGATGCTCTATTGAACAAAAATATTTCAGTTGTTGATGTTAGTTACGTTCCACAGACTGTCGTAGTGGTACAGGAAGCTAGCTCTGTCCCAACAATTCAACAGCCCGTAACCTCTAAAAAGCCCTATGCAAAATGGATGATAAAATAACAAACAACAGAACTTGTGATGATTTCAAAGGTGATCAAATAATATATGAACAGCATTTTGCATCATGGCATTAGTTACTGGTAAGCTCTGAGTTAATATATCACAAAGACTGAATGCTGCCCTTGAATCTTGATGCAAATGACAAGAACAGTATTTGGAACTGCTGTCTTTGCCCAGCTGAAGTGTGCTCTTGGTAAGCATCAAGATCTTAGAATTGGGTGGTTGAGGAGGAGCTCAGTTAGTAGTGGCAAATACATTAGTGATGTTTTATCTGACTGCAAAGGGGTGGCATGCAGCACTTACTGTTTTTGTGGTATGTTCAAGGGTGTGGGGAGATCAACTGATTCAGCATGACGCATAGAACACCACACGTTTTGTTTCCCTCAGTAGATCCCTTCAGTGTCTGGAAGTCTTCCATTGTATCAGCTTGGGAGATACTAAGCACTGAGTCACTGAGGTTGGTAACTGACCTCATCCAAGCAAGGGTCGTATGGTACTCAGGCACTGGCTGCTGCTTTTTCAATGCCCAAAGAGTAGAGGTTTTTGTCCTATTATCTTAGAAGTGTTTGTCCCAAGTATGCCACAAGAGGAGAGGAGTAGTATTAGGTTGGTGTGATTGTTTGTGGCAAAGGTGGGAGCAGAAATAGCATGTCTTGCCTCATGGCCCTTTGCTTTTGCTACAGCACTGCTGGACTAAGACAGATGTATTCCCAACCACTATGCCAAGGTAGGTAGTTTCAGGGACCTAGTCTGGGTTTTCAAAGTGCACTCACCAGGCTAGCAGACTAGTCTGTTCAGTTGTCTCGTGAGAAGTCCCACTCCTAGGAAGAATGATTATAGAGATGTGCCTGAATTCATCTTTGAATGGAAAAACTGGTCATGGCTGTAAATGTGGAGAGACCATCATCAGCAGATGTGCCATCCAAGCTCTGACACTGGCTCTTCTGAGAGTATTGGAGTATGAGTGAACAGGGGTATAAAATAAAAAATATAATAATGAATTTATTATAGGAAGCCAGCAGCAGATCAAGTGGAAGAAAATATGCAACCTCTTCTGTTCAGTGCATGGTGAAACCCCTTCAGTAAACGGCTAGTGCCAGAAAATGTGGTTTAGATTAATCTAAAAGCAAATCTATGTTGGGGATGCTGTGAGGGCTTAGCTTAAGAAGTCAAAAAATGTCAAGAGCAGATCTATATAAAAACCCAGGGTAGCTGTTCCCTGCTTATCCAGCAGTTCAGTGACTAGGGCCTTTTAGGTTACAGTTACACTTCCTTTACTTGTCTGAACAGACATTTTCTGATCAGTTTTCTGGTATTGTTCTTACTGAGGCTTTTATAACACACAGTAGCTCTACCAGAAGAGATGGATAAGCCCAATATAGTGAATCAAATCCTATCAGGCAGGGGGTGGGAGCCAAACTTTGATCATTTGCATTGTGAATGAACTTTTAGGGAGTTTGGTAAAGGATGAGAGGGGAAAAGCAGCTTGCAACCTGTGTATTGTGCTTGTCTTTTGCTTTTGGGTATATGTGCCAAATTGGAAGGTAGGGAATTCAATTGGGGTTGATCAGAAGGTCCTGTTTTCTTCTTGGTTTCACAAGGAAGACCAGACAATTTTAGGAAAATTTCAGTACAGCTCTTCTTCCTAATGTACCAATAACTATTAATGCAACTTTATTTCTTGCTGTATTGCACATATTAAAATATCCCATACTGAGGCTTGATTTAATATATCTCTCTCTAAACATAACTTCACTGTGATTAAAATACTTTAACTCTGTATAAACAGCTGTTTCCAAAATAGTGCATTCGAATGAAATGCCTTCAGTATGGTTTAACTTTTTAGTGATCAAAACACATTCTGTGGGTCAGAGCCAAAGTGCGTAAACTAGGAAAACGAATAGTTTGGTTTACACACCAAATGAACTATGCTCTGAAATTGTCAAATGCTGCTGTCTCCATGGATGTGTTTTGGGCTCCTGTTGGGAATGAAGCCTGTTTTAAATGAGAACAGAGGTTACTATAAGAGGTCTGATGTTCATCCATAGAATTGCCAAGACAAGAAGTTTTGTACTGAACTAAAAGATCTTGGGTTTGAAACTCTCGCTAATTCACTGCAGACAGAAAGCTATCAGATCCAGACTGTGAGGAGGTGGTTTTTAGAGTAGAGAGGACTCAGCCTTTGAGGTCTCCCAGTGGAGTCTAGCTTCTGGTATCATTAAGGTTTGCTCTGGAGGAATAACAGTTATCCTCATCCATACCAGAGGATAATGCATTACTGTTACCTGACTTCCCTTGTCTTCCTTCCTGAGAGTTAATTTGTAGCTTAATAGAGTTAGGGCAGTAAAACGAAAAATCAAAGCATGTGGCATAAAGAGGCAAGAAATACGAGGCTGTACAAAAACACCTGACTCTGGGAGGCATCTACACAGACAGCTGTGGTATTGGGGAGTGTCTTCTGAGGAGCATAACTAGCCATTAAGAAGTGCCTCCTTGCCACAGAAGAAAAAAAGGATGCATCTGTGGTTGAAGGTGATGAGATCATCTCTGCCTCTGTATTCATCAGCACCACAGAGGATCAGTGTTTCTCTGGCTGGTGAGTGTTGCTGGGTGGAGCAGAGTTTTCTTGATTACTAGAGTGCAGATAAGACCATGCAGAAGTCTGATTCCTAAACAGGGAGATCCACCTGCAACTGAACTATTTAACTATAGAGATAGATGTCCCCAGCACAGAGATCCTTGTCCTTCTGGTAAAGCATGACAATCCTGCCCTCCATGACATAATAGCAAAAGAGTGAGTTGGAGGTGTAATATATGTGATTAATAAATGAATGGACTGATTGGACATAACCTGGGCGAGAACTGTCCCTAAACATCCTAGTAGGTTTCAGCAGAGGTAGGCTCAAAACTAGACCTAATTGCGAGTGTGGTTTGTTTCATGGGTACAGACCCTAGCATACAAGTATCAAAGGCTAGAACTCCTGGACACTACTGGACATATACGCTGCTCTAATACAAGTAATACACATTTGGTGTTGCCTGTAGTCGAGCTGTTCTTCAAAGAGTAAAGGATACCTAATTTTGAGCGAAACAAGACTATTCCCTACATTCATACTGATTTCCTGAAATGGGTGGTAAAAGATTAGGTATTTACTGAAAAGGCTAAAAATAGTTATTCTTTACTGACATTCAGCAAAGTTGGTGACGAGCATGTCTGCTGATAAAATAGACAAAAAGAGCAGAAAACCTTTTTCTTTTTGAAAAGGCATTTCCATTTTAATTTGTACTAATTACCTACATGAGGTTGTAGGTGGTTGTTGACACTTTGAGGATGTTGGTTGATTAGAAGCTCAGCATGATCTGGCAATGTGCACTTGCAGCCCATGTGCTGGCCTGCATCAGAAGGTGCATATCCAGCAGGTTGAGGGAGGTGGTCCTCCTCCTCCTCTATTCTGCTCTCATGAGACCCCACCTGCAGTACTGCGTCCAGCTCTGGGGCACCCAACACAAGAGGGACGTGGACCTGCTTGAGCAAATCCACAGGAGGGCCATGAAGATGATTAGAAGGCTGGATCATAGGAGAGGGTAGCACCTCTCCTATGAAGATAGGCTGAAAGCATTGGACTTGTTCAGCCGGAACAAGAGAAGGCTCCAGGGAGGCCTTAGAGTAGCCTTCCAATACCTAAAGGGGAACCTACTGGAAATCTGGAGAGGAATGTTTTATAAGAGCAAGTAGTGCTAGGATAAGGGGTAATGGCTTTAAAGTGAAAGAGGGTAGTTTTAGACTATATATAAGGAGTGGGTAACCTCTTCCAGTGTCTCACTATCCTCACAGTAAAGGAAGGATGTGATGCCCCATACCGTGTGGGACACAGTAAAAAGAAGTTGCGATGCTTCATCCCTGGCAGTGTTCAGAGCTGGGTTGGACGGGGCTTTGAGCAACCTGGTCTAGTGGAAGATGTCCCTGCCCATGGCAGGGGCGTTGGAACTAGATGATATTTAAGGTCCCTTCCAACCCAAACCATTATGTGATTGATTCTGATGCAGAAATTTACAGAAGTGCATCCTTTAAACTGCTTTCTTTTAAAAAAATAAAGTTGAATCAGTATTGGAAACCGAGGAGGATTTTATCCCTCATATCCCATGTTTCCATTTCCACCAGCACTGCAGCAGTTCCTCAAGTGTCTGTTTCCCCTCACAAGTCTCTAAGACCTGTGGAGAGTGAGCAGTTCGGAAATGTTGGAGGAGGGGGTCTGTGCTGCCAGTGTTTGTTGAGGTAGCTGCTATGTGCATGAAAAGGAAATAGAGACAGATTGAAATGGAGGACAATGCTGGCTGTCGGAGCATGGGTCCCACAGGCAATGAGGTGCTCGTTTTTCAAGTGTGAGTCTATACCTATCATAGCTTAGGCAGAAGGCCATATCTTGAGGAAATCTGTGTACAGTTAAGAAACCGAAACTGTAAGAAACAGGAGTGCTGCTGCCTCAGTATCTGCAGGGCCAGCCATATGCCATCAGGGCTGTGCTGTGTGTTCTCTGTTAAGAGCAATGGAGGGATGTTGCTTGGATTGTTTGGGTGGGAGCATGCTGGGGTGGGCTGATTGAAGCATAGAGAACCAGGCTGATTGAGATATGTGACAGGGGCTCAGGATGGAGAGCAAAATCTCTCCAGCGAGGAGGGCAAAGTGAGATGCTAAAGCAGAATCTTTTAAAACATGAGAGATGGCTAGCTAAGGAGAGGCAGAATCATCTTACCATAGTGGACTGTTGTAGTTAGCCAAGGGACTTCCATGTAACTGGCAGTAACTGACTGCTGATAAAGTATGCTCCAATTCCATGAGATGGGACTGTGAAAAGACTGAGATGAGGATGGGAATGGTCTGTCGGAAGCTGCAACATGTTAAAGAAACTGAGGCAGGACAGTACCACTGGTCTTAGGTTTTTATCTGAATATCTGCATCTGTGAAACCCTCAGAGGTAATTGATAGTGTATATAGTGAAGGTCTAAATGGTAAGAAGTCAAGGCTTTGTGGAAACAGTTCGGCTCTAGTGCGTGTATATTATGTGCTTACTGCAGCTTGTACTTTCCAGAGAAAGTAATTTTGGCCAGCCTGGGCTCTGCTTTCACTGTGATTTCTTTTTTGCCACCTTATAGTCAAAAAACCTGCAAAGACTTACTCTCTCTCTTTGTTCCTTTCTGCCCCTTCCTGCCTGTGTTTTCTGAGGTGTTGCTCAGAAATGGCAGTGCCTGGAAAGAGGAAAATTGTGTTTTGTATGTCTGGTCTACAGCAATACAAAACATGGATCAGTGGGTGTAAAACAGCATGGTAAACAGCAGAGTCCCTCCTCCCCAGAGCTGGCTGTTGCTGTTTGTCACTCCAGGCACCTTTGAGGAGTTATCCCATGTGTTTTTCTGTTACCCTGTACTAATGCTGCCCATTGACGTAGGGACTTAATGAGAGGCATACAACAGTTACTACAAAGCGTGCTGTGGAATTACTGGGGATCTGAAATAATTGTGCTTAAGGCTTTGCACCGTCCTACAACAAAGCTCCTGAGAACACATGCAAATGCAGTTATCCTCATGTTCTCTTGCCTAATGCTGCAAAGGAGGACATAAGTGGAAGAAAAATGCTTATGTGTTTTTTGTCCATGTGTAGGTAAAGTTCCTGACCCTTCTTACAGGTCTGTTGTTGGCTTTCAGTGAGTCACAAAGTCCAGGTCTTATTTCCATATCACATTTACACGAGTAGCTATTTCTCTCCCCTCTGGCAGATTGTCTGCCAGGAAACAGGATGTGGTCTCTTACAATGTATGTGTGGTTTTGGTGCAATAAATCCTAAACCCTGTAGGAGATCAATAAATGTTGCTATTCATGCCAACTGAAAATAACTCAAAGCTGTATATTATATGGCATCTCCAGTAACCTAGATTATTCTTGGTTCAGAATTTATTTAATCAGTCATGAATTATTACATTTATGTTCAGTTTAAGTACCTGTGTGGGCAGTCAGCTGCACTTGAAATCTGTTTAATATTTCTTAATGGGAAATTGTCTCTACTAGCAATACCTGCACAACTCTAGGCTTTTTCAGGGGTGCATGTGAGGCAATGAAAGCAAGTGAGAACAGAGGAGATTCTTACTAGATACAAAGAAAATGCTTTTGCTTTTGATCAGGAACTGGATCAAGTCTTAGGAGAAGACTGGAGGGTTTCTGTCCTTGGAGATACAAAAATCTTGCTTGGACAAAGTCTGGAGCAACCTGCTGTAGTGGGACCTGGTCTGAACAGAAGGTCAGACTCACAGGGTCCAGAGGTCCTTCCCAACCTTCCTCATTCTGTGAGGTTTGTCAGATGAGTTAAGCTGTGCCAGATATGATTTGTTTCAGGATGTGCTATTGTTTGTGCAATAGAGTGATTTCTCCATATTGTTTTCTTCAATGTAGGTAGTGATCCAGATGGACAGAGCAGCAAAGCGTATGGAGCCATGGAAGATGGCAGTCATCGTTGTGTCAGTGATATTGGTGTTAGCCCTCATCATTGGCTTGACTACATACTTTTTATGTCGTGGTAAGTGCACCAGTCTTTGTTGTCTCAAATCATCAGGGATCTGTTGTGTTTCACTTCCTACTGTGGTCTTGCATGATGATTTAGGTATACAGCTCACCCCTGGTATAGAATCTGCATGAGAAAACTTACTACACCGTATTCAAGATCTGAATTGATTAGAAAACCTACAAGAATACTTAAAATATTATTTATTTTAAGCAGGGATTTAAGTTTCTCTCTCTTTTAGTTTGTTGTCTTACCCCAGTGCCTCCATGGGTATTGTCCAGAGCCCCCTTTTCCCAAAGTGCTGATAAAGCTGTAATTCCACAGCTGACAGGGTCACAGCCAGAGCCTGGGAACCTTACTTGTGCCATACTCTGTGACATACTGTGCCGGTCTGAATTGTACTGCAGAAGGTCAGCCACCTTCGCTTTTCTTCTCTAGATCAGGATCGATATTACAATGCAACTTTCCTAGTCACCAATGTTGAGTATGACCCTCAGTATGAAAGGCAAACCACAGAAGACTTCAGGCACCTGAGCCAAGAAGTTGAAACCATGGTAAGCTGTTTCTGTTTCTGCCTGACCTATGGTGAAGCGTCTGTGACTGATTGGAAATAGAGGTGATTGTGCCTCATCCTTATGCCACTTACCTTTCAAATCTTGCTATAGTGGGTTAAAGATGCATTGCTGACTGTGCACAAGAAGATGGTAAGCACAGGTGCTGTCTGTTCCAGTAGCTCTGTGGTGGAACAGGCACCCACAGAGCAGAAGGGACAACAGAATTGGCCAACTCAGGTGTTTGATTTTTACCCTCTGGTGAATATTTAGGGTCTTTGGTGTAGAGATGGAATTCTGAAGGCATTTTCTTGTGTTTCAGAGGCTCATGAGACTGCTATATCTTGAGAGCATGTACATATTACAGGTGTGGTTTAACACATTCTTTTTACTTAACAGATGTCTGCAGTATTCAATGGGTCCTTTCTAAGTAGAAGGTACATCAGGTCCCATGTTGTCAGCTTAAGGTAAGTAATGTGAATGTCTGGAATAAGGAGGGGTGTGATAAATATGCTTTCTTCCTTCTGCTTGACCATATGGAGCGTGCCTGGTTGTTTATGCTTGGATTACACCAGCAGCATGACTAAGTTGGCTGGTTGTTGCTCTCCTTCAGTGCTGACAACACTGAGGGCTCAGTTACATTCAGAGGTCAGCACGGAAGAGAAATTTGCCTTATAATTCTGCAGATTGATTACCAGTTGTTTATGGCTGTGATGCAGTAACCAAGTTACTACATGATCCCAGTTTTTACTACTAGTTAAGGGATTGAGAGATGCAGGGTCAGCTCTTTATTTTACTTAATTCTTCCTATGGAAACTCAGGCTGGTGTTTACCCGTTTTCATGGTGTACAGCAGAAGATGACTATTCTCCTCCCTCTCTGAAAAGTTCTGAAGGACTAAATGATTCCAATGTGAGATACCTGGATACAGAGCTGAGGGAAAGAAGTGGGGCAAAAAGGTATAAAGGTCCTGTTTAAGAGTTTTTAAGCCTTTCCTGTCTCTGCAGTAATTATGTATTGCTCTTAGCAAATAAGAGTCATCGCTTCCTTCTCCTTCACATTACTTTTGGTTTGGAGATATATTTCTATAAGGCTTGCTTTTGCTGTGGAGTATTTTTCCTAGACAGCAAAGAATACCAGACTTCCCACAAATGTCCTTCTCCACAGCACTTCTGGGTTTTCTTGCCTTTACCTCTCTCTGGATGGAATGAGTAATTTCCTTAAACTGTTCCACACTGTTTTCTGCTGTTGGTTTCTTCCACAAGCCTCCATACTGTATGTCAACTGAAAAGCCTCCATACTGTATGTCAACTGAAACTGCAGAACTTGGGATCTTGACTACATACCTTTTAGGTTGACCAAACAGTGTATCTCATCCAAGCTTGTTTTTGCTACAGATAAGTTGTAGGTATCTTTAACTAGGAACTGGACCAGCTTAGCTGCATCTCTGCTGTCATTCCCTCTAGGCTTTAGCTGGCTTTTCTTTAGACTGCTAGCCTAAAATATTGGGTCCAGTATTTTATACTGACAGTAAGTGATTGTGCCTTGCTCAGGTAACTCAAGCTATTGAGTTTTTTGTCTCCAGATAAATAGAGCTAACTGACCAATAAGTGGACAAGTGACTTAAATAGAAAGAAATGCCAAAAGACTTTTTTAACTTCTGTGGCTCTTAACTGGGTCTTTTAATGGCTGTTAGGAATGGCCTGTTGGGTGTCTATTAAAGGGTTTTAATTTGCTGTATTGTCCTACTGACTGTGAGCTGTGTTGAGGCCAAAGGGTGTGACCCTTCCTCTCCTCCTCGTCTATACTGCCTATGACAGTTCCCAGAAAATCCTGGGAATATGGGAACAGTGGGGAGTACTCCCACTGTTATAGCAAGAACCAAGCCTTTTGCTGCCTGCTGACATGTCATCATCTTCCTTCGCTTGTGCACAGCTATACTATTTGTTCTATACATCAGTGCAGACCAGACCTCTTTTTATATAAAGAAGGCATACAATGCACAGCAGGACAAAGAGGATTAATGGTGGAAAAAAGAGAATGACACCACTTTGTTGTTATTGGTTTGCAGCCCAGATGCTGATGGAGTGCTTGCATCTGTTGTTCTGGTATTTAAATTTGCCTCAGCTGACAGTAAGGCAACAAGCTGGAGTCAGGTCAACAACGTGTTACGCAGAAGGCTAAAATCAAGCTCCACACTCTTGAATGTTGACGAGTCTACCCTTAGACTCACAGGCAAGTGGCTTAGGTTTGTGTTTTCAGCTTGGAATTTGTTCCTCATACTTTGCTGTTCTTAGTGTAATGAATGTCACCTTAGTATGCAAATGCAGACTGTTCTTATTTTCTTCTTTCGCCTTCTCCAAATGCTGTATTACTGCTGACAGCCTGGGAACTTGGAAGAATTAGCATTAAAAGAACCAAAGCATGCTGGCAGTGATTTATGAGTGAGCTCTCTGTGTACCAGAGGCTTTCTCTGTGCAATGTAGGTCTGTTGATGGAATGAGGTCATGTCGTGTCCTTTCCTCCCTGACTCATCAAAAAAAGGCCCAACTTTGTGACCATGGGCTCACAGGTTACTTTAAGGCACATAGTGAATTGAATGAGAACCTGTATCACCAGGTACTGGAATGCAGAGTCCTCAAGCTATTAAAAAAATGTACAGAGATACCACTCCCTGGTATCTCATTTGCTTATCTGACAAATTGTTGTGTCCAGTGTTCGTAACAAAACCTGAGGTTCCTTGGGCAGTAATCCGCTCCCATGAATCTGTTGCTGGTTGCCATCAGAATCTGGCAGTTTTTTGTAGGAAAGAAATCAGTAATGTTAGTTTAGCTCCAGTCAACCCCAGCACTGAGGATTTGTGAAGAGTGTTTTGACCATGTTGCCATACTGAGCCTGAATAAATGCATGTAGGCATTTGCTGGTGGCTGTGCACAATATACATGTAGATGTTACTTGGATGTATTTGCAGTCATCTGTTGCTTCTGTTAGCTTTGAGCTAAGGCAAGAAAGGCGTATCTTTTGGCCTTATGCTTTCAGTGAGGAACAGATGCGTAACTGAACTTCTCCTTTTATCATACTGTCAATCCATACAGTTAATGTAAACTATTTAATTTGTGTTTGCTGGCTACAGGGAGGGAATCTGTGCTAAATCACATAGCAGTATAAAATATGTTTACTGTGTGTTTGCTTTTCATTCCAGACTTGAATAAGGAAAAAGGCGATAACCTTTTAAACAACTGTAAGTACAAATGCTGTATAGAAAAGGTCCAGCAATATGGTGCTATTGGTTCTGTGTTTACAAGACTCTTATGCTCTTAAGATGCAAGTTGGAAAAATAACATTAAAGATACTAGAGCAGTAGACAGAGCATGAGCCAGGGAAGACTTCAGCTCATTTTCCTGCAGTCAGGCTGACTCTGTAGTGTTTGCAGAATCAGGCATTCTGATTTGGTGGTGCAAAAGTGTAAAGCAGTTGCTTTAATGTTGATTATGGGAAGTAGGGGCAAGTAGATGAGCTGCTGTTAGTGAGCTTTGCACAAAACCAGGATTCTTGCTGGAATCCTTTCAAAAACATTTTCCCTCTTGCCCCCTCATCTCTGCAGAAAGGTTTGACCATAGTTGTCTGTCAGATTTGAGCTAAACCTGGCAATATACAGGGAAAGGCCAGAGTGTAGGAGATGAAGAAGAGCTGGCCATAGTGAGAAAAAGGCAATGGCACAGCCCTGGAGAGGGGCAGGTTCTGAGTCTCTCTCTCCTGTTGTCTGCTTCCCCCATGAGGTCTTAAAGCTTCTCTGGAAACGGAGAGACAGTTTAAATCCCTTCCCATGGGACTCCATCAGTCCCCTGAATGGTCTCAGAGCCTTTGCACACTAGCTTCTTATCTTTAAATGGACTGAGAATTAACTGGTTTGGAGCTAAGGTGTTTTTTTTTCAGCTGAGTAATACATGCATGTGCTCTTGGTACAGTGGCTATAAGTAAACTGTTGGAAGAAGAGGATGTTATTTTTTTGTTGCTGTTGTCAAAACTGACCTGGAGGTGACCTGACAAAATCCCTTCTTTGTTTGCCCAGCTTATGGGTGGGGTTTTTTGTTTGGTTCTGTGGGGTTTTTGCAGACTAGTCTTCAGGAATTCTGTGACACTTAAAGCTGTACTGACTGTGTTGGTCTTGACTTTGCTATACAGGTGGGATGTTAGAAATAAGGGAAAGATTGACTTCACTGAGTTCTTTAGTGATGTGCAGTATCTGTCTTGTGCATATTTTGGTGGTGTGTGGGGGCTTAGATCCCCCTTGGTGTGGTGGTTATCGGTGGCTCCTCAGTATTTTCATACTCGATTTTTAAGAAGTCTTAAAGGCAAACAAAAACCTCAGGATGATGCTTTTTACTGAGAGTTTAGTCTTTAGTTGAAACTTACATGTTGCTATTATGAAAGCTATATGAATGTAAATGCTTAGGTTATCAGTGCATGTGTGCCTGTGTTCCTGTATGCACAGATACACTAGTGACTGCATGTTAACTTTCTCTCTGTACAGTTCTAGTCAAATATCAAAGCAAACAAGGTTTGTAGAAGCAGTATCTTTCTAAACAGGTAAACAGCTACAACTGGGAAAATACACAAGTGTCTCAGATACACAGCCTTCAGTTCCCATGGGAGTGCCTATGGGTTTGTGTGTCTGAAAACTGGCTTAATGAAAAAGTAGTGACCCTTCTACCAAACTTTGTCTACCACACATCTATCCTGAGATGCTTGTGACCATGACACCTGGTTTCCCTGCTGCTGGAGGCACTGGTTTAGGTGGAGGCTGTCTCATACACCCTGCCCTGTTATACCTCTGCCTGCAGCTGTGAGGGCCTTTCCCAAAGCAACACCCTGATTTCCCTCAATCAGGTAAAGCAGAGCTGTTTTTTCTTTGGTAGGCTGTGGAATACGAAAACAGGCATTCTCCTTCACAGGAGAGGAGAGAATAACCGGTGGGCAGCGTGCACGGGAAGGGGAATGGCCCTGGCAGGCTAGTATTCAGTATGACGGGAGCCATCGCTGTGGTGCATCAGTGATCAGTAATACGTGGCTAGTGACTGCAGCCCACTGCTTTAAAGGGTAAGTCATCAGCACTTCAGCACCTTTCTGATCCTACAGGTCTTAGGACTCTTGGATGCTCAGACCTTTTGGGGTCTGCTGATATTTGTATATGCAGAAAGATAATAATAACTTTAATAAGTCTGGTTTTTCAACAGTGAGCTAAGCTTCTTTAGGGATCTTGTTTTATGTGGCTATGACATAAGCTCAGATACCTTACAGGGGAAGAACAAATCCTAGGAGGTGGACTGCCAGCTTTGGAATTCTGCTGAGACCTCCAACACAGAAAAAGTTGGTCCGAAGAATTATCGTTCATGAAAGATACAACAGCTTAGGCCTTAATCATGAATATGATGTGGCTGTTGTTGAACTTGCCTCTGCTATTGTGTTCACAAGTGATGTGCACAGTGTTTGCCTCCCTGAAGCATCTCATGTGTTCCCAGACAACAGTTCCTGTTTTGTCACAGGTTGGGGAGCTTTGGAGAATGATGGTGAGTGTCTCTTGCTTTCCCATGCCCTGTCACACATGTATTTGAGAAGATTGCTGTTAGTTTTATGTTTTGGGTTCTTTTCTTCTTTCATTTTGGGTTCCTTAGACTTAGTTTGATAGGTGCATGTGCTAATGATACACCTGTGGGCTTAGTTTGCTGCTTGTTTTTCTGGCTTGGTCAGTAGGTTGGAAAGACAGTACAGTGAAAGACTTTACAAGTTAGCCTTACAGGAGTAAGAGCAGCTTTTGTTGCATCATGCATTGTGCTGGTTGAATACATTGTTCTCCATTCCCACTGGCCCAGTCCACCTGAGTTTAGCTCTGACGTACGCTCTTTCACCATTCAGCTTTGTCATAGATGTATCATGACAGTTTTCATCAGTTATTCTTTCTTTGGTCATAAATCAGTCTTCATCTGATGACTTGAGTGAGCTTCATTCAAATTAGTCTATGTCAGTGAGGACTGAGATGATGAGACTATGTATCTGCTTATGAGATCCATTAAACTATACAAGTAGTGTATGGGGTGCATAGTGATTGTCCAAAGCTACACTGCAATTAATCAAATGGGCCTTTCCAATGATACAAGGACGTATCTTGTAGCCTACATCTGAGTTCAGCACTGAAACATGTAAAAAAATCCCTTTGTCTGTTATGCTGAAAAGCATGTGGTGAGGATGAAAGCTAAAAAAGTTAGGTTTGGGAACAAGTGAAGGACTTTAAGAGGAGAAAAAAAACAACCCCTTATTTCTTCCTGAGACATTGCTGGGTAGCTCCTTTTTGTTGCCTGTAATAGCAGAAAAGCTGTAGGAAAACTTGACTACTCCTAATCCTTGAGTGTTATAGTTTACATATCCTGTCTGCAAATTCTCTTTCTAGGCTATAGTGTTAATCAGCTTCGACAAGCAGAAATAAAAATTATAAGTACTGCAACTTGTAATAGAAGAGAAGTGTACAATGGAGCGATAACACCTGGAATGTTGTGTGCTGGATACTTGAAGGGGGAGGTGGATGCCTGCCAAGTAAGTTGCTTCATAGGTTAATAAAAAGGAAATAGGAGGGGCAGGAGGTGATGTTTCCTAGGAATAAAATGTACCTTGGGGAATCTTGATTAAATTTGGGGGTTAAATATCTTGACAAATGTAAATGAAGAGCTTCATGCTTCACGGCCTGAAGTCTGCACTTAAAGGCTTGGGGTTTATATATAATGCACATGTGAGAGAATAGATGGGAGGGTGTGGAGAGGGAGAGACTGAATTTAGACATAGGCTGTCAGCCTCTGTGTTGCCAGTAAACAGTGTAGGGGTTGAATTATAGCTGTGGTCTAGAGACAGATCTCTCTTGCAGCAAGTCTCATTGTTCTCTTCCATTAGTGAGGTGAACCCTGTTTACTTTGTTTCTGCCTGTTGACATTTTTCTCCTTAGGGTGACTCTGGTGGGCCACTGGTGAATGCGAACTCCAGAGGAATCTGGTATCTGGTGGGAATAGTAAGCTGGGGAGATGAATGTGGCAAGCGAAATAAACCAGGAGTCTACACAAGAGTGACTTATTATCGAAACTGGATCAACTCAAAAACAGGCATCTGAAACCTGCAGTGGATTAAGTTTTGTGGGCTACGTGCAGCTATTCCTTTGACACATTCTGCTCTGTGGTTACCCTATAAACAGCTGCTGGCTTAGCTTGTGGTCATGTGTCAAGTGCCAGCAAGCTCGGAGCAGTCTAGGACTTGAAATTGGTTTGGTCTATAGCCAAACAGGAACAGACTTTGTATATGTGACAGCTGTTGTTCAGGAAGTAATCTATCAAAGGGACAACTGCCTTCATACCCATATGCAATATACTGACCCTTTTTCTCTGTGGCCAAATGCCTTACCCCCAACTTTTATACACAGGCAAAGCACTTGAGACCAAACAATCATTTCCCAACATCCAAGAGAAGTTGTAACTAAACGTGGCCCACTCATTTTCTCTGTGCTCCCAAGGCCCCATCTGTCTATACACCAGCTACAGTCCAGCCCCTGACTCCAGAGCTACTGCACTCCCAAATTCTTCTTGAGGGTTTTCCTGCATCATTCCAGGGAGCATATTCTAATGAAGAATGGAAGATGTCTTAAAAGAGTCCTGGTTCCTAATATCACATCAGACTGTTACTTAGGTGAACAGAGAATTTTATCTTGCTGTGTTGCCCTGAATAGGGAATCAGTGGAAAACACTAACTTTTGTCCACCTTCTTTTGAACAAGTATATGCACACCCATGCATTGCTTCATATGAACAACCCCTACCACAGCGTTTTCTGGAAGAGTGATTACTGAATTTAAGACCAAAACCCACTTTGCCTTCATATCAGTCTGTTGTCATATTAGAGTATTTGGGTTAATTTCTGTTTTTAACTTTACAGACTGTATTTTTCTGAATAAAATTCCATGACATTTTATGCAGGATGAAGGATTGTAATGATCTCAGTACAACCATTGCCAAAAAAACGCAACCTTTTAGACTGCTTATTCTTGTGAATGCTATTCTCAAGTCTTCATAATTTAATGTGTGCATCTTCAGCTGCATCCTAAAAAAAGCTTAGGTTTTGTATTATGGTGGAAATACCTATCTCCTTCAGAGCAGGGCAGAACTTCTGACTGACCCAGTCATCTTATGTGAAGATCCTGCTCTTCTGTCCGGAACTAAGAGTTGTCTGTGTCTCATTGCCATAGTATAGGTAACTCATTTAATCTTGACCACACAAACTTCATATTCCTTCTGACTTTGTTTTCAGGAGCTCATGTTTCCATCTGCAAGGTAGATCTCAAACACCTTCCACACTTTGGCAGCAGAACATGCCTGTTGCTAGTGAGGATACTTTCCTTGGTATGTCTGCAGACTCTTTCCAGCACTTCATAAGGATGCTTATCCTGACAACAGCAAATGCTGTGGTCTTAGTTGCTAGATAACGAGCTACTCAGATTGATCCCTTTTTCCTCTATGGTCAGAAGAGAAAGAACTTGGCAAAAGAGATACCAATCACACTGTGCCAAGTCTCAGAGCTCATGCAGCATGACAAGCAAGGAAGAATCTTATGCCAGGCATAAGGCAAACAGCAGGCTTCCTGCAAGGTTATAGGTATAAAATCAGGGGAACAGGCCCTCAGTGATTACAGTGTTGGGATCAAAGTGCTGTCCAAATTGAGTACAAGTCAGTTGACATAGTCAATGGCACTTCAGGGGACCCCTCTGGTCTATGCTGCCTAGCGGAGCAGCAATCCATTAAGTTAACAGGAATATTTTGATTACACATTATGTGATCTTGTTGCTTGCCAGTACAGAGAACCAAATTTTTGTAGAGCCTCACTGGAGGTACTGGAATATTTGGATGCCCAGAGAAGGTCTGTGTGAAAGATGAGGGTACGCGGCTGTTGTGTGTTCTGTACTTGTGTGTGTCGGGGAATCTCGCACTTAATTCTGTTTCTTTTTTCTCAGGGAGCTTTTCTTGTGGAATGTTGTAAGCTTCAGAAACAAAACTTTGGTGGCTTAATTTCTACATAAGAAGTAAAAAACGGCAGACTAGTTCTGTAGGTCTGGGCCCAGCACATCTCATCTTAGTCCCTTAAGCAGAACATGGCTTTGAAGTCTATTGTAAAGGAAGCTTAAAAGTGGTGTATGACAAGTACATATAATTATGTTTTCTCTTGCTGGTAACAAATTTTCTTACCAGCACAGAATAAAATTTGGTCTTCATGAAGAAAAGCATCATTACAGGATGCCACGGATTTCCAGTTCTCAAAGCACTTTAGGCTTGGGTTTTCAAAGGACATAATGGTTTCCCCATGCCAGGGATTTAATTATAACTTGGAAACTTAACAGTTTTAGTCTTGCAAATCCCAGCTACCTCACTGTTTCCCCAAAATAGGTAAGTAGATGTCCAAAGAAATTATTTTGCATCTGTGGACATTCCTGTTGCACTTACTTGGGTACAAAATCAGAAAGTGTTAAGCATGTTGCTCTGTGTCAAGGGCTGCAGCAAATACATCCTCCAAAGTGGTGCACACAAGGCAGGAGCAATGAACTTGTCACTCAGAACTGCTAGTTCCTTAAGCATCTACTCAGATATAGTACCTGATCCACCTTAATCACTAAATGCCAGCACAGTGCAGCCAGGAGGATGGGGCTGAAGAGGATCTCGTGTCTACATCATGTCTGTTTTGGGAGCCTCTACTTTGTACTGCCTTGTGAAGTTTTCCTGATAGCAACTGGAACAAATATTCTGATCTGGATTCTCCTGGAAGCAATGTAGTTTACATGCTGTGAAGCTTATTGGTGATGCAAAGCAGTGTAAGTAGGGACTGTCAAGAAGCACACTGGGAGTGCTGGGGATATGATGGGTCCAAGTCCCTTACTTGTGGCAAAACTACACTGATGGCAGCACTGTCTGGCTTTTTCTGTGGGGACATTATGGAAGCCTGAAGCAATGCAGGTGGTCAAACCATTTTATTTGTTTTATGTGGCCTATTAGATTTGTGTTTCTTTTAAGATGCAGTCTCACCTATTTATGAAGCCACAAGCTTCATCTTCTCTCAGCCACATTTTCAGAGGAATTAACATTTTCACTCAATGCAGAATGGGGTGTATCTAACTACAATCATGCATGACACATAGGAATGTAATTTATATGTAATTTTAATAAAACTTGTTAAATTTGCTTTCTGTTTCATGTACTTGTTAATTTCCTGCATCATGGTAAATATCTGTAAGATGGGGGCTCCTCCATTTTAGAACATGTTGCACTGATCCTCCACAGTGTATTTATGTACTGGCTTTTATGTAGTCTTAACCATCTGGTTTTATTGACTCGTTAGAAGAGCATACTGGAAGAAGAGGAGAACTGTTAGAAGAGCAGAACACCATCCAGACTTGGACAGAATTTACCCGCCTGGCCAGAGGTTACCCAAATTTGTGTGCAGGTAAATAGGTCTTGTGTCAACCACTAGAGGGTGAATCGTATTGTGTAAGAACCTTGTGCTTCAGCCTGCTGGTGGTGCTCTGCTCCAGCTCTGTAGACAAATGAAGGCAAGGCACCATGCCCGTGTTGCCTTGAGGATGGAGAGATGCTACACAATTGTCTTGAAAAGCTTGAAGGGACTACAGCCGTTCAACTTTTAGCATAGGCCTCTGCAGCAGTGAGGGAGTTTCAGTGTTTTCCTCCATGAGAAAGTTGGCATCAAAAGCTCCCCTTTATGTACGTTAGGTGCAGTGTGCTATGGGTGTGAGCAAGGGGCTGAGAAGGTTTTGCCTGATTCTCTGCCACACTATAGACAGGCCCTTGTCTTGTGGGAAAGTAGGCTGGAAAGGCACGTTGCCAGACGTTGGCATCATGGGTCTGGTTTTTGAGCTCATCAGCATAGCAAAGAGCAGCAGTAACTTTGAGAATTTGATAGATGGGAGGTTTGCAGCAGCATACAGCTGCTGTTTGCTTTAACCTCCCATTTTGACAACTCCTGAAGATTCTTGTCGATCAAAAGGCACTTACCACATTTCTTCGTATCCCTTTCCCATCAGGATGGAAAACGTGGTACAAGTTGCACCATATTCTGAGCTAGAAGAGCAAATTTTTAATGAGTGAAACATGCTGGAGTTCATTGATTCTGGTCTGTAATACCCAACAGCCAAAGGGATTGTCACGGCACTTGGGATTATCTAACGGGGTAAAAAGGAGTGCACCTGCTTTACTGAAGTATTACAGGAAATGCAAGGTTGCCCATGGATGGGAAGATGTAAGTTTGGAAGAACAGTAGCCCTTTCATCACATTTTACTGGGTCAAGTGCAATAAAGGGAAATTGTTACCCAAATATGCAATTGTTTTGTTTAATGTAAGCTTGATTAGGTCCAAGAAATACACAGCATGTCTCTGATTCACTTGATTAGATACTGAATTCCTTCCTCCCTCCAGTAAATCTGGAAGGTTGTGCTTGCTGTGTGCTGTCTGTCCTCTTAGCTTCTGCACTTCTGTCTTCCAGTTGTGCCACTGGGCAGTCCCTTCCTTGATGAAGCACTTACCATCAGTCTAGCATCCAGAGCCTGTTTTAACCACAGATTGTTCTTTGTAAATCAATACAGTAATCTGCCAGCAGTAGTGCTGCAGCTCTGACATTCCACACACTCTTGGGATCACCTGCAGCCTTTGGAGTTGTGACTCAGACAGTCTGGCACTGCTCTCCAGGCCAGCTGAGATGACCTGCATACTGAGGGGAGCTGTAACTGGGATCATTCTTTCCCCACTGGACAGACTGGATGGGGGGACTATACTAGGAAATAATGTCTCCTATGCTAGAGAGTGGTGAGAACATAAGAAAAATCTTTTTACTCTAAGAGTGTTTGAACATTGAAACAGGTTCTTAGGAGAGGTTATGGAGTCTCCATTCTTGGAGATACACAAAAAGCAACTGGACATGATCCTGTGGTCAAGCTACCCTTATTTTGGACAGGGATTTTGGGCTATGCTGTCCCCAGAGTCCCCTTTCCATGTCAGCTACTCTGTGATTCTGCTCTCCAAAGTGTCTAGCAGCTTCAGTGAATGGCACATAGCTGTAGCTAAATGGTGGGTGCTATCTCAGATGAGCTGAGTGTCTCTCAGCTGATTCTGTGACAGATGAATGCTGTGGTAGACAGCCCAAAGCCAGACACCAGGCTGTCTTCATGCTTGACCCTTAGATGCAGTACTTGGCACTGTTGTGCCCAATGTGTCTGGCACTGTTACTATTGATTGAGTAATCAATGAAAATAGCAGGGCACAGGAGAGAACAATCCATTCTGTGCCATGTAGGTAGAAAGCAAGTTACCCAAGAGGAAGCTCAGCTAGAAGGTCTTGCAGGGAGGCAGCAAAGCAAGTAGGACCCTTAATCCGTACTGAGCATGCTGCGTGATGCATGCTGCATTTTTCTGTCAGAGTGACTCAGTTCCTGAACTGTAGCTGAAAAGACAGCCAGAGTTGAAATGGCTGCAGGATGGAGGGCTTGGGCTTGATTATCATTATGTCTAATTTAGCCTATGAAGTCTCAAAGGCTGACACAGTGTATGATAAATCAGGCGATTGCTCGCAAGAATCACATTTAGGATCATGCATGCTGCTGGAAAGCTGTGGCAGAAAGCATCTCAAAGAGACAGATTCTGCCTTCTACCAGGCAAGTTAGCTGCTAACAGACAACATGAAATAAAATCCAAGCTAAGCCTTTTCTGGGGATAAAGAGATGTAGGAAAAGTCTTGCTTAGAGTGTGATGGCTTCCACAGATTTCTGTGTTAGTGCTCCCAGTAGGTCTCTCTAGCACTTCTGATGTCTGAAACAATGCTGATGTTCTTTTGTTTAATTTGAGCTGTGCCTGTAAGGGATTTATTTATATCTTAATGTGCCATGTTTCTTTGTAGACCTAGTCTAATTTGTATAAAGGTCTCCTGTCTCTTTGGAGACGCTGTGTATCTTGACTGGGACCAGAGGATCTGTGCAGGGGATGTAGCTTGTTAGCCAGATTGCTAGGCAACATGGGTAAGAAAATGTAGGCTGTCCTGTTTCACTGTACCAAGTAGCAGCTCTGGCTGAGCAGAGGACAGGTACCTGTGCGCTACCTTTTTGCCTCAAATAGTGCGATGCGATATGAATTCTTTGTTAATGCCTCTGGCAGTAGGGGACTTCTGTTGTCAAAGGGCGTTGTCAGTATTCTGGGCAGGCCCATTTGGCTGCAGCTCAGACGGGTGTAGCAGTTTCTGTTATAAGGGCCTGGAAAGAGGGACTATTTAAAACCAACCAGGGCAGGATCTAGCATACTTCGAAGCTTGAGGCCATTGCTGTAGCATCTGAAAGCCTCCACACATTCAGTATCTCAAAGCTGCATATGCATGTAATGAGATCTGGCCCCGAGTGACTTTTCAAGGCTCAAGATAAAGCACCTGGCTTCTCTCCCAGCCTGATGTTGGCTCTAGAGAATCATTCTGTCATTTTAGTGGATTTTCTGGTTTTGTTTTCTGTTTATCAGTTATGGAAAGCCATGGAACATGGTTTAATGTGAGGTGTCTCGACCCATGGTGCGGGGTTGGAGCTAGATGGTCTTGAGGTCCTTTCCAACCCTAACTATTCTATGAATCTATGGCTGGGAATTTCATGTGGCAAAGGCAAGCATGGTATAATAAACTTGTGATCTGTTTTTTGTCAAAACAGAAAACTTTGTGCAGCGCGTCTACAGCTAAAGTTAAAAAGTATAAAGAAATGCAGCTCATTTAGAGCTTCCTCTGAATTTTGAAAGCCAAATGCAATGTGCCTTTGTGTTTTTTGGAAGAGGAGGCCTGAAGCTATAACTCAGCTGCCAAGACATGGTGGTGCAAAATGAGTGGATTTGTCCTAGGAAAGGATTTCATGGCATTGTACCAGTTTGGTCTTATCAGATGCTCTCAGAATCAGAGAGTAATTTAGATTGGGAGGGATGTACAGAGGTCATCTCATCAAACACCCTGCTCAAAGCAGGTCTAATTAGTTCAGGTTGTTTAAGGCAATACTACTTAACAGTACTTCTGTCAGTTCTGTTAAGTATTATCAGCAAGAACATTCACTTCTCAGTTCAAAGGTAATGACTGACAGCTGGTTTTGGTGTAAAATTCATGGCCTGGATTGAGTAACTGGTAGACAATTATGTTAAACATCTTTGCTTCAAAATTCCAAAGATGTTATTGCTATGGGGCTTGCCAATGGTCTTCTCTCAAGGCATTCTTTGTATCTGCAGCCAGGGAGCCTATATAAGTATGCAAACATAAACCAAGGTAGTCTATTATTAGTATTCTTAGGCAAGCAGTCTGTCTGACTGGCTGGGCTGACTTTGCAGGGTTAAATGGAGAGAATGGTCATTACATCTTTTTACACTTTCATTCACGAAGTCCTGCATACCCACATTCTCCACATTTCCACCCCACACTCTGATTGCTAGTTTCTGCACTGCTTCCCTAGTATTAACTAAAAAGGTCAGTAACTGCCTTTAGCTTACTGAATAACCCTGTAATACCCAGCACTTTGCAACTTGCTAATTTACTGTGAGGAAAAGTGTTCCTTAATGATTGTCTCTTCTTGGCCTATCTGTACCATTGTTGCTGGCGGACATGTGTAAATTGATTTTGCATAATCCTGCAAAGGCAAGTTATTTCCTGATTTTCCACTGTTTTCCAGGGCAGTTAATTTTCATGGTTAATTAATTTGAACACAAAAGCAACCTACTTGAATTTCTATTAGGCAGATAGCAAAAAATTCTCGATTGTAAGGAAACGTGTACCATGATCAAAATCATGTCTTTGGAATATCTCTATTATTCGTATTCTGGAGTAACAGCAGAAAAGTCTATCCTAGTCTGCTCTGAAAGTTACCAGAAGTTCTTGCATCTGTTGTCTAAGACCCTTCCTCTACTACCTCCTGAGAGTCTTTGCAACCCGATATTCTTCTAATGAATGCACTTTATCTCGATAAAATCTTGTTGCAGAGCTCAAGATCTCGTGTAACTTCTGTCTAAGACTCTAGCTGTTTGCTAAAACCTGCTTCTGCTGGATTATATTTTTTACCTGACCCAATGGGTAGAGCTGGTGTCTCGGCTTCTGGGCACATCAGGGAAAACTCTGTGCACCCTGCAGGGTAAACTCTTCAAAAACCATCTTTTCCCAGTGTGCCTGGCCGGGGTACTCAGGGCACCTGATTAGTAGTCCCTAAATACTAATTAAACCAGTAACAGTGCAGAGCAGACCGCTATGAACAGCCTCAGCCTGACCATTCTGTGCAGAAATCGCTATGTGCTTTCTTGTCTTACATCCCAAACTTAATGAAGCTTTTGTCTGTATTCTCGTGCTGTGTTTTGTAAGGATGACAGGGTTTCTGATTGCAGCGTTAAAAAAACCCAAACAAAACTAACAACGAACCAAGGAATTCTAAGGTATTTTCTCGACTCCTGGACGGAACTGGTTTGTAATCATCTTCAGCACCCCGCTGAGTGCTAGAGTTGCTATAGGTGGGTGGTGTTTCTGGGTGGAGCAGGGATTTCTTTCGTGCACAAACTTTTCTGAGTTTTGCTAATCTTGAGAAAGAAAATAACAGGGCTGGAGAGTGGGAAGGGAATACTCAGGGAGGATGCTAGTACTTGGCAGGTAACTGTGTGTTCAGTCAGTAAGGCCCCACATAAGGTAGGTAACTGCAATGATGCCCTTTCTACCGAGAGCTGGGAGAAGCCGAAAAAACCCCAATTGATTTGATTGATCGTGTTAGTGAAACAGGAGATACTATGCAGCAGTTCTCAGCTTTTCCTGCAGTCCTAAAATGAACCGTCCAGAGATGTGCTTCCATAACTTCATTGAAATGCTTGTGAATGGGCATCTTTGGGTAAGCTGGAAAAGAACTTGTTATGATTAGGTGAAATCTTCCTCTTGCTGTTTTTTCTTGGGGAGTTGGAAGGTAGTAAATGCTCCCATAAAAATTACTGTGAAATCTTGAGACTTTATTGGAAAGCCAAATGTTTCAAACATTTTAGCACAAATCTAAGCATATAGAAGACGAGAAACCAGAAGTCTCGTTTCTGGTAATTTTCCTCTTTGTTTTGGAATAAATTCTGCAAGTGTAGAATTTCTTGCTAGAGAATATCCACTTTTCCCTTTTCCAGCTGGCTCTGAAGAATCATGTTTGAGCCGGGAGAAGGGAATATTCATATTAACCCTTTCCAGCTACCTCCGAAGAATCATGTTTGTGCTGGGAGAAGGGAATTCCAAGGAGATTGGTGGCCTTTTTCACAGAGTAAGCATTTTCCACAGGCGGGGTTATGCCAACCATTAAATGACTAACATGTAATTAGGAGGCTGGATACTTATAGTTGTCATGTCCCTGATGCCAAGGGAGTCCAGGACAGCTGTGGAGGAGTGAGCACCAAGGGAGATGAGGCTTGGCTGACCAAGCCATTTGTGTCTGTTGTGTTCAGCCTTTGTGTTGGCTGTCTCAAGAGGCAAGTGACTGCGGACAGTGTGGGGTGTCTCCCATGTGGGTTCTGCAGTGAGCGTATGGTAGAAGGTGCTGCTCAGGAGAAGGCCTGCTGTAGAGATACAAGCTGGACAGAAAGGGAGTGCTGGAAAAGGGAAATCTCACGCACTTCCTGTTCTGCTGTGGTGAAGAACAAGTCATCTTGCCTGGGCTGGTTTATCTGCTCTGTCCATCTCTGCCTGAGGAACTCTTTGATGCGGAGCTGATCTGAGTGTCCTTATCAACTCCATGCTTGCCTCTGTTTGTTTTTATTCTGAAGTTCGCTCCCTCATTTTGCAATAACCCACAGGGTGCTGGGTGTTGCTCAGCCGTGCCTCAATGAAGGATCTTCATTCAACACCTTTCCCTTCCCATCACACCAGTCAGTGCGACTCCTGCGTCTTCCAGCAGCATTCACTACGTAGTCCAGACTTTAGTCAAGCCTTGGTTGGCGGTCAGAAAGGCTACCAGACCTACCGGGACCTACCATGGGATCTTCAAAAGTAGGTGGTGTGTTTTTAACTTCACAAGTCTGGTTGGGAGGTATAATGGTGATAAAGGATGCCGACTATAGGGCAGCTTTAGGACTTCAAGAACACATACATAAATCCAGAAGAGAGATCTGTTTGTTCTCTTGCATGATCTTGGACCTCACTGCTCTATTTCTGCCCCTTTTCATCCTTTTAGATTTAGGGTACATCATGGGTATGTCTGAAATATGCAGCCTGAAAAGGGGTGATAGAGGGAAATCTAAGCTGCAAGTTATAGGTTGAAAGGGAGGCTTTGCAGGTAATGGTCTGGATGAAGAAAATGACATGGCTATGGCTGGAGTGAGAAATCCTTCCCTAGCATGGCCAGAAGCACAAAGATTTGCTTTCTGTTTAGAAAGACGATGTGATGGCTCAGGTTGACACTTATTTTTCCTCCCTGTGGTTGTCTTATCCTGCCCCCAGCAGGCTTTTATTGCAGCAGTGCAGAATCCAGGAGGCTCTTTTGTGTCAAAATGAAATGTTAGTAACATGATTTTTGGAAACCATGGCTTTTGGTTAGGTCTAGTTGTAGTATTATTTCCCCCAAACCCTGCAAAAAGTCCCAGTTAAGTCAGTGACGGCAGCACAACTGCATAAGGAGAGTGCTACAATTATTTACCATTCCATTTTTAAACCTGTTACTTTTAAGGAAAAACCTGTGATTCTAGGGTGTAATGACGAGGTGTATTGTCTCACTGATGTTGTGCAGTCAGAGGTGTTGGACATCTTTAGTTCTGTTTTACTGTAACAATATTTCAGACAGTGCTGGAAAGTTCAGAGTGTTTTTACAAAGGTAAGTCTCCTGGCTGTGATGCTGTTCTGTGCTCTACTGGGGCAGAGCAGGGATCTGGTCATAAATGCACAGCAAGCCTCCTGGAATTTGCTATTTCTGTATAAATGCTCTGGCTCCTGGATTCAAGTGGCAACAGGAGATGCTCAGTCTCCTTGAGCTTGTTTTTTGTTGTTGCCTCAGGGATTGATGAAGCTTGAAAGTATGACCTCAGAAACAAAAACACAAAAGAATTTGATTAACACCCTAATGATTTGGCTGCATGGCTGAGGTTCTCTGTGATGGCTGAAGACTTCAACACCAGTCTTGTCTCTGGCATTGCTTTGGGCAAACGGCTGTGGATGCTTGCAAGATAGCGCTTGTTTTTTAATCTGTCCTCGGTATTTTTAAAAATGTTGTGGTTTGGGTTTTATTTACTCATTTGTTTTAATAATTTCTGGACATGCTGAAATGCAAACATTGTGTCTGGATTCACAAAACTTCTACTTCATGCCCACTTAAGTGTTTTTCTCATTTTGCGAGGACAGTGTTATTTTAGTCAATAGTGTTGGCTTTGTCAGAAGAAGACTGAGTTCAGCTTTTGGTTCTGTACTCTTTTGTGGTACCCTGCTCAATACCTTCTGCTATGTATAATATCCATACCTCAAAAGTTATTCTGCTAAGTTAGGTGAGAAAGAAATCACCATCAGTTGTGGATACCAGTTTGTGCATGTTACATAAAAAGGCAAAACTGAGTGAGAGTTCTCTACCTTGCAGAATTGAAAAGCCATTTCTTTTTCTAGTTAGATATAAATCTAGATGCTGTGTCTTATTGATATCAACAGTGTTGTAAGTGATTTTAATAAGTGTGCTAGAAGGTAGTTAAACAACACCTGAGTCCAGTTTGGCCTCCTCCTAATTAGGAAAGGATTTAGTTGTTTAAATAGTTGTTTAGATTATTATAAAATAATCTAAACAAAATAAATAGATATGGTAAAATAATCTAAAGTATGTTAGGGGAAATCTGTGCTGGATAATTAAATATTTACATGTTTGGGAAGGGATGGAGACTGCCCTGCCTTAATCAAAGACCCTGTGTAGCCTGTTCAATGTCCAGAGTTCTTTGGGCAGGAATGTAGATCAGAGCGTGGAGCTCATCACATGCTGTGCCTTAGTCTCTTATAACAGCAGTGCTTCAGTTATGCCTCTTAACAACATTTCAAGATGTTGGAATGAGTGCTCCATAAAATCCTTCAGGAAGCAAAGCTGCTAAGGAAAGCAGGGTGGAGCAAACAGCCTTGCTGGTCTTGTCCCTCTTATGTTGTGCTGTGTCCTGCAGTCTGGGAAGCAAATGCAGTGTCATGCCATAACTTCCTTGTGATGATCTTGCGCCGCTGGCAGGGAGAGCTACAGAGTGGCTGGTGCTGTATATGGTAACCTAAAAGTGAATGTGTAGGTTGAAATGCAATGCCATCTGCACCAATTTGTCATGCAAATTGGTGGGCAAAATGAGTGTGGGCAAAGTGGGTGTAAGTTACAGACTGCTGAAGTGTAGCAGGAAATGGATACCAGCCCTGGTGCTGGGAAACTCATGTCCCATCATCATTACTGGGAGTTAACCTTGATCATTGCAAGAGGCAGGTACAGTTCCCGCATGGTACCAAACAGAAACCTATTCTATGCAGTTTGCCCCAGAGCAGATCCTGATTCTGGTAAAGCCTAGTGAAATACATCTGATTCTGGTACACACCACACCTGGGTTAACTCTTATGGAGTTGGTACAGTTTGTGTTTCCTTGCCACGTTCACTCAGTTTCTGACCATTTTAAACTGGAAAAACAGAATGAGAAAGGACCTCCTTCTGAGTCTTAAAATCTAGTTGTCGTCATCAACTGAGCCAGCTCCAGTATAAATCCCACAGCTACTTTGGCCTCTGCTGTTCCTGTTAGAGTGTGTTGCAGAAGTACCTTACTTATGTTTTTCACAGTTTTAGGATTGGGCATTTTGAGTCAGCATAAGCTTCTAACGTCAAGTCATTCTGCTTCCATCACATACTTGTTGGATATCTGTATTTCTGGTTACACAGCGATCTCCGTTCTGAATCAAGTCAAGCTAACATAAAGCCCGGTATGGCTTAATTTGACATTTTCATGTGAAAGATACAAGACAATCTGAATACCTCATGTGGTCTGTGGGTAGATTTTGGTAATAACAGGGGGACAGATTTCATACAGGATGGAACAGGGGAATTGTCCAGTTTCTCTGCCAATGGAGAACAACCCGGGATTTCAGAGTCCCAGCTGAACCTCTTGTTTAAAAAGCTTCCTCTAATTTCAGCAGCGTTTCCCCCATGAAGAAATGGGTCCATCTCTGTTCACTGAAAATACATTGCTAGATTACAGTATCTCACTGTTTATCTACCCAGCCTAGGAATTGTTTATTATAGATGAAGTACAAAATATGGAAAAACTTATTATTCAGCCAGAAACATAAGCTCCCAGGCCACAGAAAAATGGGATTCTCAGTGGACATAAGCTGTCATAGATGCACACAAAGTATCACTCAGGCAGAAGGGCTGGTCTGTTGTATCAGATTTGCAGAACTCCTCAGGATGGATGTATGTAGTTGTTTCACAGTGTTATTGCACGTACCAGTAAAGAGGCTTATTTTGTTAAAGAGGTTAAAACACCATCACTGCCCTGTTACGTTCTTGTTTATATATTGTGACATGGTTTAGTGTGAGGTGTCCCTGCCCATGGCAGGAGGGTTGGAACTTGATGATCTTAAGGTCCTTTCCAACCCTAACTATTCTATGATTATCAATAAAGCTGATGGTGGGGTTTTATCGTTCATTTTTCTTGAAACACCTTAATAAGAGAGAAGTACCACATGTGGTAGAAAATTTGTCTAAGCATGCCTGTCTTATAGGACTAAGCCCAAAGGACATTTAATAGCCCACAAGAGATCATCTTTAGGTGACTGTTTTGGGTTTGGCTGTTAGGCTGTCCTGTCAGCACCTTTCCTGAGCAGACACTGTCAGTGCACGCATGCCAAAGCAGATATGGTGCATGCTGACTTAGCTAGACACTGTTTCTGATTCGAAGCTCACTGGAGGGGTTCCCGTAGGTGTCAGAGTGTGTTTTCTGCCCTGGCGAGGAAGACCTCTGAGGCTTTTCCTCTGGAACAGGCAGTTTCAATTACGCTATTTAAATTCCAGTAGGGAAAAGGCCCTTATTTCTTTCGTAAAGCAACGGTTTCAGGCTGCAGCGAGGCAAGTGCATGCATATTTCAGTGTGGTGTTTACGATAAATGGCACCCTTTAAAATGAAACAAGTTAGGATATTATGTAAGAGTTTTAGTCTTCCTTTGAGACTGACCTCCTCCCCCCCCCCCCCCATACTCCCCTATTACTGAAAGTCAACAGACATAATCAACTATGTCCTTCTTATGTCTGCCTTGTAAAGTGCGTAAGTAGAGGGATCATTCAGGCTCTGTGTTTGTTGGTGTGAGCTCCTTGTTGAAGACAGGGTTTCTCCGGGGCTTCTTTGTGTTCTAGGAGTGGGGGGGGGGACTTCAAATGCAGAACGCAGGGCTCCAAGTCACCTACCACCACAGGACATATCTCAGTGGGTATTTCTAGGAAAATGCCAGCTGGATACCAGGTGAAAAAGCCAGGACAGTGTTAGGAATAATTAGGAGACAAAGAGAGGACAACCAAGTAAAATGGTTACGGCAGAGGAATGATTTTATAACAGTTTTTGTCATTTATCTTTGTCAGCAAATATTTCACTCCTCTTCCTAATCGGACAAATCTTAATCAGGGACTCTCTCTGTCTTCTGCAGAGAGGTGAAACCCAGTTCCTGACTGTGGTCTAATTAAGATTTCTGTGGAGTCTCTGGGGTAGAGAGGACCCCACTTAAGCTGCAGGCAGAAGGGACCCTATCAGAAAGCCTGATGAGGTCAGTGGGAGGCTTTCAGCTGGTATTTGGGTCAGGCTTAAAAACTCCATTTCTCCTCTACTGGATTTCAGTGAGCACCTCAGCTGAAGTGTTTCTAATCCTGCTGTGCTTTTCTGTGTTACGCTCCCTGTTCCCTCTCTGTTGTTCTCTTAGTTTGCAAGGAGTTAACAGGGACTGCTTGACTCTTGATCTGAGAAAACAAATTTCCACTGTTCAACTTTTAGCAGCTCTCTGCAGTATAGTCAGGCTCTGATGGGTCATCACGTGGATGGAAGCTGTTTCAGTTCTGGAATAGTTACTTCTCTTGTGTGTCTTGAATCCCTGTAAACATTGTCCAACTTTGCACAATGGGACATAGAATCATAGAACGGTTTGGGCTGGAAAATCTAGTTCATCTAGTTCCAACCCCCCTGCCATGGGCAGGGCCACCTTCCACTAGACCATGTCGCCCAAGGCTCTGTCCAGCCTGGCCCTGAACACTATCAGGGATGGAGCATTTACCACTTCATGTCAAATTAAATAATTGATTGTTGAGAAATGAACCTCAGGAGACAGAGCAAAGCAGCAATAATGCTCAAAGTTAATGGGGATAGAAAAGTATCAGGACAGAAATCTTAGTTTTCCTCTCACAGATATATTTAAAAACCTGTATTTCAAATCCTCCTTCAAATCCTTTATTCAAATGGTGAAGTATCAAGATGGTACAGCCTAACCAAGAACATTTTATCAAAAATATCTTTTGTTTTTAAAACCAATTTTTGTTTTTTAAAACAAATTAACAGCGAAGAGTAAACCTTAACAGTTGTTTCATATTGTTGTTCAACAACATTTTAAACATTTTTGTTTAAAAATATTTGGGAAAGTTTATTTAGGAAAAAAAGGAAGGAAAAAATCGACATCTCAAGTCCCAAATCAGCCCTCCCCTCTATTATGTGACTCTCTAAGATGTATTTGTCAAAACAGGTTCTTGTCTGAGGAAATTCAGTTTAGAAGCTGATGCTGAGTCCCCTCTGCACCTCTCTGACATGATGCTCTCAAACAGGTTTCATGAATGAAGTGAAAGTCATGTGTGTGAGTTGAAATTACATGTGTGAGTAGCAGTTGCAGGCTGGGCTTTCTGTTTGCTGAATGATACCATGGCACTTGAAAGGGAAGAACGAGAGTTACAAAAAGTGTTACACCGTGTACAAAAGAACACTGAAAAGGTTTCAAACTACCTAGTACTCGATATTTAACTGTGTCCTGGCCATATTACTTCTAGCCTGAAACTGCTCTTGCACTGATACGAGAGATCCAGGACAAGTCTGAACAGATAGGAGTGACAAATGAGTATTCCTATTTTCACTCAAACAAATGTCACGATGTTTAGCCTCACGTGAGTCAGTTGTTTTCCAGGCTGAAGTAATAAGGCTTTAATTGTAAGGCTTTACATTCAAATTAGAATGAAATATCAATACCTGCTTTGGAATTTATGCACAGTGTGTTTGGTGTCTCGTTCCTGCACACAGCTGCAGTGGTCACTTGCAATTATTGCAATTTCCAGCTTATTTTAATGTATTTAAACTTACGGCTCATGAGATGTCTGTTTCAGAAATGAGAAGTATGTATTCTGTTGGGAATGTGGGATGCCTCATACCCTCAGGAGAGGGTCCGTACAGCCTGCTTTCCTGGGGATGGCTGTACCTTGACCTGAAGGGGTGCATGTTTGTGTGAGTGAGGTACCCGACTCATAGAATGAAGGACTCTTGTCAGAAATTGTGGCTTCCTGTCCTGTATTTTGTAATGGCTGATAACATAGTAGAAAGTACAGCTTTAAGTATCTTCATATGTCTTTGAGTTTATAGTCAAAGCCAGAATTTGCAGTAAGTGATCTTTTTCAGGCAATTTTTTGTCCAACTGTAATATTGACCTACGGACTATTGACTTCCTTTGTGTTAATTTGGATTAACACCCGTGTAATTAAGAGTATGTCAAAGAGAAGTATTTGGTGAGGCTTCCTACCTGTCTACCTTGGTCCATTCACGTGTCCTTGCCCATCCCTGTCATTCCATCCCCGCAGCAAATACAGCTAAAGCAGTGCTTATCTTTTGCTTTTAGATTTAGTCTGAGTGAAACAGGAAGCACAGGCTGGTCCTCTAAATACCTCTCTTTTTTTGTCCAGCCCTGCTTTGCAGGCCAAAATGGACTGAGCAGCTTCCATAGATCTATACTATACAAAGCATGGGATGCTTTTTACTCTACAAAACAGTTTTAGGAGCAGAAGCGCCAGTGTGTCTGTGATAACTGATTTGTTTAACCAACTGAAATCTGCTTACACTGCTGTATGAAAGTTCACCTAACTGAAAAAAGTTTTACTCCAGTCGGGGGTCACATAGGAAAGTGCTCAGTGGGACTCCTATTTAATTTGGCCCTAACAATAAAAAACACAAGCAAACAACAGATAAAACAAACAAACCTAACAAAATCACCCAAACCACAAAACTAAATCAAAACCCCCCACAACCCCCCCCTCCCACTCTCCCCCAACACCTCAAACCCTGTCTGTTCTGTGACTTCTTGTATATCCCAACATCTATTTCAAAACAGTCTTGAGTCATGGCTTCAATTCAAGGCTGTTGGGTGAGAAGTCAATTAATGCTGCTGGGAAGACTCAGCTGATGTTGAGGGAGCTTCATTTTGGGGCGTGGGGTGTTTAAATAGGAAAGGATCTTTTATTAATCTTCACCCTTTGTTTTTATTTTCTCTCAGAATTCACCAGCCAGCCATCAAAATAAGACATTTTGAGCCCTGGAAAATTGCTCTAATTGTTATTGGAGCAGCAGTGGCAGCAGCTATCACCATTGGTCTTCTAGCTTATTTTTTGGCATATGGTAAGTTTAATATAACATTCCTATGTGTGGTGAATTTCCTTGTTTCTTGTGCGACGCAATGCTGGGATCTTGCTTTCCATCAGCCTGTCCCACCATTTTGGGGAAACCCACCGGCTTCTCTAGAGCTCTCTTTCCTTCCTCATTTAGCATCTTTGCAGATGTCTTGGGAACATTTCATGCTGTGCAGGGTGGTTTAAGGCTGTGGTTTCTGTTGGCTTTCACTTGCTTCCACTTCTTTCTCATGATCTCTTTCTGTGATGAGGTCAACACACAAGTCTTCTGGTCTCCTTTATGTGAGTAACAGCCTTCAGCCTGTTTCTACCAGTGGTGTTTCTCTGTTCCCTTGCCCTGATCGCCAGCAGCTGCCTGCCAGGGCTTGGTATTGAGTGGGCATGCAAACCAGAAACAAAGGTAAACTGACCAGCAAGATGCCACTTGTGAGCCTAAAGTGTGACCCCTGTGTGAGCCCAACGCGCTGATGGTTGGCCACAGATAGTAACTGTTGGGGAAACTGGGCTTTTTGTCCTTGCTTGGCTTAGATCACATAACTCAGCTGAGCTCTCATACCTTTTGGGAGCTGTATTTGAATGGGTTGGACAGAGGTGAAGGCTCATCCACCCCCTAGATGTCTGAATATCAGTGAGCCCCAGGTGTTTCTCAGAAGTTTAAGCATCTTGGTTCTTTGAGTATTGCCTGTTCCTCTTCTTTCACTTACAGATCAGAAGCTGTTCTATTACAGTGCCAACATAAAAATCACCAACATCCGGTACAACAATGAATTGTCCAGACAGTCCTCAGGAAGGTTTAGAGACCTGAGTGAGAGGGTTGAGAGACTGGTAAGTTTGGACTGTTGTGCCTTTCTGTTAAGGACTGTGTGATAATGCAGTAGTCATTATCGTGAACAGCACACTCTTAGACCATGGGTGTCTGGTGTACCCTGAGCCCCCATGGTCAGCAGACCATGGATCATGACCTTACCTGACAGACCAGGCACTTGCCAGTCAACTTGTTCTAGCATGTCACTTCTCTTTTTCCCTGCAGTGGTGAACTAGATATTGATAATAATCTCAGCTTCTTCCTTTATCAGTAATCACCTGTGTGCGTCTTCTCTTTCCCTGCCCTGATTTGTGATGTATGCCCCACCGTCTCAAAGGAAAGCATGCTTTTACACCCTTTCCTTTATGGGGTGGGGAACCTGTCAGACTGTTGCTGTGTGTTGAGAAAACAATGCACAAGCCCTTTTCCTGCACCTTCGGTATGTTTTGTTGGGAAACCCTCCTACAAATAGCAGAGGCTGCTGAGTGGCTCTCAGTCATACAGCAGCTATGGAAATAAATAGACACATTGCAATTTCCTTTCTTGTTTTCTCTTTGAGACACTTCCCCACAGATGCTAATTACAGAGTTCAGCTCTTTATAGCAATAAGCATGTGATTGTGGTTGTATCTTTTTGTGTTTCATTCATCAGAGTCCAATTTGTATCTCCTGCCTCCTGTTTAGCAACCTTGCGTAGATACTCAGTTTAACAGGACGCTCAATGCTTTGCTCCCCACTGTCATTTAATCAGGGCCACTTGTCCACAGCAAAACGTGAGCTGTGGTGAACACTGTTCTGGAGAACTAGGGTACTACATAAGGATTTGGCAGTGCTAGCATCTTTTCCTGGCTCCACTGCTAAAAGCCTCAGAGATCTTAGTCAAGTTGTCCTCTTTTCTGTGCTTGTTTCCTTTCCGCCCTCTTTGCCTAGCGGGGACTGTACCAGGTTTCCCAAGATCTGCTTCTGGTGCATATTTGTATGTATAGAGTCTTACATAAGCTGCATTTATTTAGCTGCTACCACTTTACAACTATTACCTGATAATCGCAGGCTTTTAACTTTGTGATATAGGACCTTGGAGAGGGAATGTTCTCCCTGAACAAGACACTGTGTATTGCTGAGGTGGGAGGAAGGCAAGGGGTGGGTAGAAGTCTGAGGAATTACACTTCACTGAGTAAAGCTGCATCCCTTTCTCCCACTCCATTCCCTCTTCATTTTTTAAAAATGTACCTCCTTTGGCAAAGAAACACTTATTGTAACTGAGAAGTTATTTCAGACAGTGTCCAATAAAGTCAGGTTTCCCCTAAACATGGCTATTAATTTAGATGTTTGAATGGAAGCCAATGTTGTAGAAACCCTGTCTCCTCTATGGGTGTTGAGCACCTCTGAAAGTAGTGACAGTAACTATCAGTGCTGGCTGAGCAGTGAGAATCATTATTTCAGGGCATGTTAATTGTACCTGAGAAGTATCACCCTACCAATGCCTTTCCTTCATTCCCATGACTTTTCTTAAGAGCTGTCTTGCATTCAGCCATTAACTTCTACCTCCCTCTCAGATTCGATGAGTTCTTTGCTGTAATTTTAGGTTAGCTGATATAAATGGTCCCTGCCATAAACTTTGACTTTTTGTGTTTTTAGCTCCAGGCATTCCAACTAACAAGGACGTATGAGGTTGAGAATTGCCCATAAGCTTATTTAAGTTGACTCTGTACAATTATTCACTATACTATTAGCGAATAATGGCATGTTCTTTTTAAGTCTGATTTTCTCCAAGCAGAACTCAGCTTGTGGTGGCAAAAATCAACGCAATCTTCCCAAAGACACAAATATTCTCTTGACTTCTTGACAGTCAGCTGTCTCGGAACATCTACATTTTTATCTTCAGGGGTTTCACACCATATCTTCGATAGATGAGGAGAGAGTTAAGAGGGTTTTATCACATTTCCTGATTTGTCTGGATTTACCAGAATTCTTTGTCTCTTCCAGACTGGTGTCAGGGTTTTGGATGTCCAGGCCTTCCCATGTCCCATGTCGTAGTAGTAAGGATACCTCAAACTCATCTTGTGAAACAATGAGTCAATGCAGATAAATGCGATGTCTTTCACAATAGTTGGTGCAAAGTGAACAGAAGTGAATCATCTCTGATAATCAGAAGCATTCAAATTACCTGAGTTAGTGCAACTCCCTGCCAAGTGTTCCATTCTCTGATCCCTCCCTGATGAGGCCCCCTTCATTTGTCCCCAAAACAACCTTGAAAGGAGCTCTTTTCAGAGTTGAGGTTTCATCAGGGAAGAAGTTTCAACTCCCATAGGGAACTCTTCCCATGCTTTCTTTGGAACTGTCAGCAAATGTCCTGGTGTTTGCTTTGGTTTTCAGACATGAGTAGTAACACCCATTGTGTGAACATTCCTGACTCTTATCTCATTGAAGGTGGGAGGGAATGCAGCCCAGGTCATGCCAGAGAGCTGATGAAGCTGGTGCACCAGTCAACATCTCAGGGCTGACTGGAAAGTCTGGAAAATGTCTTGTGGGGTGGAGCTGGGGGGACTGAGGAACAGATGATGAAAGGTCTTTGCTCTTTGCCTTGCTTCCTGCAAGTGGCTGTGAGCCTTTTCTTTGAGCTCTCTTGAAAAAGGAGACCTGACTAACTGCCACTATGGAAGGAGATGTTCCAGCTCACCAGAGCCTCCTTGGTTTCTTAGCTGGACCAATTTTACTTTCCTTGCCAAGCTATAACATGCCAGATTGTGCTCTTTTGCAATGGATAAAAAGGACACAGTCATAACCTCAATGGCTCCTTCCCCAAGGGGCCTCTATTTTATACTGGGTTCACTTAATGCCTGGCTGATCTGCACAACTACCCACTGTTTGTCACCAACTCCTGCAGCACATTTGGATTTGTTTTTTCTTTACCCACAAAATGTATTAATTCTTTCAGGTTTCCCAAGAATGCTTTGGGAATCCCTAATTACTCTCTTACTAACAGCATACTGGGGGGGATTTCTAAGGCCCTGCTTTAAGCTTTGCTTCTTCAGTCCCTCTGGCACCCTGGTGTGTGAAGAGAGTGGAGACAGCAGCTCTATAGATTGACCTGGGTGACTGAGATGATCCCAGTTTCCTACTCTGGACAGCAACACTAACTGTCTTATGCATAGGGAGGAGGGTGGAGGGGCTTTGTGTCCAGTGTGGAAAGTCATCTTTGACCCCAAAGGAAGGAGGTATGCATTCAGGAGAGCTTGAAATGAGTACCTCATCAAGCCCATCTTAAATGAGAATTGACTCAGTGGAAGGCTGACAAGTGTCTAGCTGTGAGAGAGCAGTGAATACCAAGCAGTCACAGCATATGGTCCCTTCAATACATGGCTGGTTGCTCAATAAAAATAAACACCAGCCTTTACTTTGCCCACCAGTGACTGGCAGATGTACCAGTCTGCTCTTCTTACCACAGTAACCTTCTAATACTTTCTCCTAGACGTTGTGGGCTTTCCCCTCTTACAGGACAGCCTATGCCACCCTTCTCCTTTCCCAGACACCTAGTGTCTCCCTGTCTCCTTCTCAGGTCAGAGCTGTTCCCAGTCCTGCTGTTGGGCTGCTCTTCCCATCCCAGTCCATGTGTCTTTGTGAAGTCTGGTGTTAGACCCTGTACTGATGGTACACTGCAGCCGATTCCGAGCCTGTGGCTTGTTCATTATCCATTACTCTCTCCTGATCCTGCATGACGGTAGGGCAGGCTGTGGGTTGGGTGGATGGATGAATGTAGCCATGAATGTAGTGTGACTTGCTCCTTTGCTAGCTGGGTGGCTGTGGGAGAAGTGAGGTGCTTCTTTTTTCTCCATGAGTGCCCTGAGCCACTGAGTGGTCTGGCATGGATTTCTCTTCTTGTCTCATCACCTGCAAACCACCTGGGCTCTCCCCCGTCCTTCTGCTATCTGAAACCAACACAGAACAACACTGAAACCAGCCACAGAACACTGGCTGGGTTTGGGCAAAGTGGTTGGGAATTGTATAGAGAAGATATCTGGGTACCTTCCCTGGGAAACTACTGCCTATCCCAGTATAGTCATTGAAGTTATGGAATTTCATTAATTAATTCTTGCCTCAGGACTCAGTTTTGTGTGTCAGGACATCTCTTTTAGAAAGAGACATCTTGCTTCACGACTTCAAGTGATAAAAGAATCTTCTGTGTCCTTAAGTATAGATACTGGGAGGGAGGAATTTTTGATGAATACAGCTCTTGAAGTTTGTCCTGTCTGATAGAATTGAATTAGTGTGGGTTTAATTTAGAAACAGTGTCTCTACTGAGTATTGCAGAAGCACTTGCAATACCACAGGAAAATCCTGCAGAATAGTTCTGATGACTGTGCCTGTTCCTTGTCAGTTTAAGGACTCATTGATGAGTCTCTGTACTGGAGCTGGTAATGAAAGAGGCAGTTTTCTCCCTTGGGAGATGATGATTTTAGAGGTTGTTAGTACATTTCTCTCACTACAATGGGGGAGAAGCAGAGGGGCGGGAGGTGCCACAGACCTCCTGCCCCACACACACCTCCTGTTCTTTGTGCTGCTAAGGTGAGAGAAGGATGCCAAGGACTATTGTAGAGAGTGAAAGGCCAACTCCATCAAGCAACTTCAGCACCTGAGAAGAGATCCTCAGAGATAAGAAAGATTTTTCAAGTGTTTATGGGACTCAGTTCCTTTAGCACATTCAGATTTTATTCACCCTCATCACAATGTTTGAGTTGCTTTGTGTTCTCTCTTTAATTCCCATAAAGACACCCTTGCTTCCATGGAAAGCAGAGATTTAACATCTGATAAGCTTGTTTGGTGGATGGGTTAGCCTTCAACTTGTAACTAGTTCAGTTTCTAGCTTATAACTGAAAGGCTTTGCTTTATACCCAATGATAAGCTTGCCCTCCTGATATCAGGAAGTACCTTGTATCATTAGAGTTGTGTATCCTAGAGTTGTGGTTATTGAACATCTGAATGGACAAAGCCTGCAGTACTGGCTCAGGTTTCCATTTGAG